CCAATACTGTTCCTGATCTATGTCAACGACAGCTTTATCTCGTAACTACGTGACCTGCTGGACACAACACAAGGATATTTTAGACGTTTGGCCATCGTCTGTAAACTGACACAAAAAATACCGGAAGTTCGTCCGAAAAACATAAGAAATAATCACTGATTAAAAAACCACGCATACATATGCAGTTTTGCTTAATGCACTTTTTATCTTGCTCAAAATGAGCCCATACCTGAAAAAACGGTGATATATTTCATTCATGAACCGGTCTATTTTGCTGTCTGACAAACGTACGAAAATGTCGTGTCACCGGCAGCCGTGTTTCCGAAGAGCCAAGGAGACATTCTTATATCGATAACCAGTGTTTTCAATGAAACGAAAACCTTGTAATGCAATGAACTTGACCCATTTTCACCAATTTTTAACAGAACAAAGTGAGAAATAACTTACCATCAACCAAAACCGATATAAGACTTCAGAAAAAAATAATAACAGATTCTATATTATAACTAAATAAATTAAATAAATAAAATTATAAAATTACATGAATTCGTTCAAGTTGACATATTGAAAAATCAATTAAAAATGTGAAATTAAAAAAAAAATGGTTTTGATAATTAATTTGACGATCAAAGATTGTTTTTTTTTTTATTCCAAACGGAGCTTTTGTTCTTGCAGGTCACTGAAGAGAATTTCTTAATAGTGTATTCGAGTTATCTGTCTTTGAACAGTAAATCAAAATAGACACACGGAAACATATAACGGCTACTTCATCCCTGTTCAGACGGGTGAAATTTGTTAAAAATTGTTTGTTCTGTTTTTCTTTAAAATACAGTTTTATGTTGCTAGTTTTTTGTTTCCAATAGTAGATTGTTTACATATTTATGACAGTCATCCGTAATTTCAACAGTTTTCTGTTGATATGAGTACGAAATCGCGGTCGCTTCTTAAGTGCGCGGAAACCGGTAACACGATCGAGAATACTCCAACCCTACCAGATACAGAAATGAACCTGTAATTGTAAATAGCTAGCAACCAGAAGTCAAATTAGTACGCGTGTGTACAGCATACATGAAAAGAAAAGAACATGATATACATCACCACCAGCTACTAGCTAGCTTACAACGAAGTCATCTGAGCGAAAACGTGAGTTTTTCTGGTTAATCTGGTTTCCTCATACATTCCGGGCCAAATGAGAAATGCATGTATCGTAGGAGACGACTGATATGGGGACCTCCTGCAGAATTGTGGAATTGCTTTGGTGTCCTCTATTTGGGGACACAAAGGTGACCACGTAGATCTGCTGCACCCATTGCAATTTTTGGTATTTTTATCTTTCTTCTTCTAACTACCTTTTATTTCCTAGCGCTTTGCTTGGCAACACTCCACTTTTGGCATTTATGTTGAGCGTTCGCCCGGCTGAGGAAGGAAATGGGCTCTGTTCCCAGGCCGGGACATACCAAAGTCCTTAAAAATAATAATGGTAGTTGTTATTCCCTGCTTGACGTTCAGCTTTTAGGGAAATTGCAACTGGTTCACCCCTTGTCAGTATAAGATGACCGGGCGGAATGTGATTGGCATTTCGGTGAGATAGCACTATAAAGTCGGCATCAGATTCGAGCTATCACAAGGAGGCAACATACTCTGCCCCCTGCATACACGCATACACGACACTGCACACAGAGGCACGTCCTTAAATAACGTTAGCTGTTAATAGGACGTTAAACAAAATTAAACCTAACCAAACATTGCAACACCGTTCTCGTTGATGAAAACGTACAGCTTACAGGGTTTTTAGGGGTTTAATTCTTGATATAAAACTTTCCATGGATCATTGTAGCAATTATTTTCATTTTGTGTATCATGTTTGGAGATCTTTAGGTAATAGGATTACTGAAGAGATTCCGATTACCGATCCGAAAATACAATAAATGTGTATGTGATGGGTTCCATTTTGCATACGGTGAGGACACCAAAAAATAAAAACATTTACAAGTACATGTAACCCGATTTTCCCGAACTCTTATGATCCATCCCTCAGCTTACTGGGGGCACATCATTCTCTTCATATATTTGATTCCTTGGTTTCAGGAATGTTTTATAATGTAACTCCAGCTGTTAGAATTTGAAAAGTTTAAGCAAATTACTGTGCAACAGGTTCTAAGTTGGTTGATAGCCGCCATTTTGAATTTAATTTAACCCCCAATAAATGAAATCACCCCAAACAAATTAAATCTCTTCGTGAGCTAGCAGTTCAGTTATTCCTACCGAGTTTATGCAAAAATTGGAAGACAGACTTAAGAAATTGATAAAAATGCATTTTTCTAGATGACCACCATGGACTAACCCAAAACAACATTTGATTACATGACACAGGGACCTTTCCTGGTAAGTCTTGAGTAAATCACTGTGGTGGAAGTAAACACGTTTAAAATGTAAACTGTTGACAGAAAATTAACTATGGTGCAATACACATTGTCAGCTAAATCTGACAGTCTGAGTTTGAGAAGAATATTTATTTTTCTTCAAAGGTGGCGGCCATATCGGCCGTTTTGGATTTCAGAAATATATCAATACATTGTCTGCATCATTTCTGATCAATATTACCAGTGGTGAAGATGCTCAAAACGTCAAAACTTTACCGAAGTAGTTCTTATATGGATTCAGTGATCTGACAGAGGTAAATGTGAAATGTTTATCGATTTCTGGTTTTTCAGAACACAATTTATCAATTTCCTAAGTATATTTTAGTAGATAATATAACTAGAATTCCAAATCAAGAGGCCCAGGGGCCTTGATAGCTCACCTGGACATTCTATTCTAATTTAAAACCTGTTAACTACTGTACACTTTAATCAAATAGCGCAAAAAAATATAAGCTGTAGCAAAGATTCAATCACACTAAGGATCTGACTGACATTTGTTTCTCCATGCCCACCAAATTAAAATATGTTTATATGGTAGTGATCTCAATTCTTCCTTTACAATAGGATGGGGCATGACCTAAGGTTCAATCATAGTAGCATGAAAGTAGTCATCTCTTCATGGTTACGAATTGTATATTTGATAATATGAAGGTGATCTGAACTGGTTCTGTTATGATCCAACAAGTAAGCCACAAGGGGTTGGGCTGGATCCCTGAACCAATCCTTGTAGCATGTATAAATTTGTCTCTTCAATTGTATGTTATAGGGAAGGGATGCAATATAATTGGTAATTTGCAATTTTTGTATGACTCCAACCAGGGAAGCTTTCAGCTCAATATTATGATTTTTCAGTTCTTCAGCAGAAGTCGTTTGAAGTTTTGGACATATTTGACCTCTTTTACCTTGAAACTAAGTCAGTGTAACTAGGTCATAAAATTCATCAGCCTCTATATCACAAATCTACAAGCCAAATGTCTTGATCTTAGACCTTTTGCTACTTCAGAAGAAGTTTTATAAGTTTTTGTCATATTTGACTTCTATGACCTACAAAGTATTTCAAGGTCGCTTTTCTTTGCAAACTCTATTGACTCTATCTGAGGAAGCTCAAGCTCAACACATATCATGAGCCTAGGCCTTTGGGTTCTTCAGAAGAGGTCATTTGAAGTTTTTTTTACCTTTGTCACCATGAAAGGTCAAGGACATTTTTGTTCAAAAACTTTGTTGGGCTCCATAAATGAAGCTACCAGCAACATTTCATGTTTCTAGGCCTTATGGTTCTTCACAAGAAGTCGTTTGAATTTTTTGAAATATTTGATCTCTGACTTTGAAAGTAAGTCATTTGTCGTTTTTGTTCAGAACCTTTGTTGGGCTCTATCAAAGGAAGCTACCAACCAAATACAATGACACATAGCCTTTTTGGTTTTAAGAATAAGTTATTTAAAGTTTTTGACATATTTGACCTCTGTGACCTTGAAAGATAGTCAAGATCATTTTTAGTAGTAAACTTTGTCAGGCCCCAACCTGGAAAGCTACCAGTCAAATATCATGATTCTAGGCCTTTGATTCTCCAGAAGAAGTGGTTTGAAGGAAAGTTGATGACGGCAAGTCAGTATAATGAAACTTGATTTAAGCATAACAAATATTTAATGCCATTTCTTCAAAAAAAGAATCTGAAATTCCGAAAGTTATACTGAACTTCTATTACGAACTTGTACATATGCTATAGGTACAGTAAAATATTAAATTTAACCAAATCCACACGCAATTAGCACTTAGTATTTATTCTTTTTTACCTCCTTTACCCTGATGAAACATAACATCAAAACAAATGATTTTGATGATAATGGACAGATTTTTGGATCTCTTGCAATTATGCTTGATCATATATATAGGATCTTACATCCTTTTCCATTTCATATGAGATTAATGAAACAAGTCTAAGAATTTTTCAATTTAGCGAGCTAAAATGAAAAAAATTGTGACAAGTTTCATAAATTTCATATGAAATGAAAACGATTGTAAGATCCTTTTTACCACATAATCAAGATTTGTGTCATTTATTCGTGTTAAACGACAAATTTCATGCAACTTTTAAATGTTAAAAGTCAACATTTTGACACCAGTGAATTAAACAATTGAAACTTACAACCAATTACAAGGCTAATAGGTCATATTACATGGGTTGATATGGGGAGGTGGGCAGGGGCATGCTCCCCCAGATTTTTTTTAAATCTAGAAGCTCTGTGGTGCATTCTGGGCTTATAATAAAGCTTTTTTAATCTGTTTAAATTTTAGATACGGACTAGGGTTTTTAAGGGTCATTTCTGGCCTCATCAGGGATTTTGAATTTGTTGCTATATATATACGTTATCTTGAATAAATGAAGTATGCAAATATGAAACTTCAAATTAAACAACTGGTATTGGAGATGGCATAACAAAGAGAGGTGTAAATCCACAATTTTCATAGTAAAATGCTTACATTTCGTCTGTTGTGTGCTATTCACATTGAAAATTTGCCATTTAAAAGCACTTCAATTAAACCCTTTTCAAATTTTGAAAGCCTCCGCATGGACCAAACAAATAAATATCTGACATGCTTGAACATTGTCATACCAGTGTTCATTTATAGAAAGGAATTCTTGTTTGTCACTTACAGAGGTTTTCCTTTCTGCATGCTAACTGTCCCAAAACATCATACTTTGGCTATTTCTGCATAGCAACACAATTTTGTTGCTATGGTAGGGTATTAACGCATGCACTTTGAAAATATTCTGCACCAAGAAAGATAGCCCCAATTAACCAATATATGATGTTTATAACAGAAGTTGATAAATCAATTCAAGGTTATATTTTTTAATTTTTATGAGACCGAAAAGAACCCATAAATGCCCCAAATCCTTTCCAAAATAGCTACTGGCCCTGCGGGAAAGCTTGTTGAAAAACCTACAGGTCCGCCCAGAAAACCACCTGCCACGAGCTAGCGGTTAATTCCACCCCTGCAAAATGTTGTTTCGATGGTACTTTGAGCATTAAAAAGAACAATTGAAACACCTTTCAATATAATTAACCTTAAAACACTCCACAATATTTCTGTCCTGCAGAAATATGCTATTTGAGTTTGTAAGCAAAGGACACATCCAATAGTCTCTTCAATTGCTGCATGACTGACAGGTTGAGTCTATGTCCACACCCAATTTTCCCATGGTCATGAAATAACAAACACTCGTGAACAATTATGAAATGTCTAATATGAATCATTTTCGCTGAGATTTCTCGCTGCTGCCAAGATGTGTCGTCAAATGTGACACAGATACCGGACCTCCGGTCATCCTGATCTACTATGTAGTGGCTGGCAAAGGGGGTCCAAATTGATCCATAGTCTGTACCACTAAATTCAGGTATTCGAAAAAGGAATTCACACTGACACGTAACAGTCTTGCTTCTTTTGCTTCAAAATGACTGCAATCACAAAAAATAAGCAAATTACATTACACAACTAAATTGTAAAATGTGAAACTTCCTGTCAAACTTGACGGACTTAGAGACTAGTAACAAAGATGTATAAAGTGGCAAAAGGGAAAGAGGTCAAAGCATGCTTAGATGGACATTGTTACAATTTTGCTACAACAATAACAAGAAGCCAAGAGGATCTGCATCACTTGTATTCAAACAATCAAGACAAAAATGTTCTCTTTAAATGTAGTATTTCCCCTATTTTGGGCTCTGCTGTTCAGCACCCAGGAGGATAACACCCTTCATTTATACCATGTTAGATACCTAGTCCAAAGACACCTGATTTGATTTAAATGTGTTCAGGAGGAGGGAGAGAGGACTTTTAAAGACCTTAACATTCAAAATACACCAACCAAGATTACAGTGTGTTTTTTCTTTACACGATAAACAATTCCTAGTTCTCAAAGACAAAGTTTGTATAAACATTATGTATATGGCAATTAGTTGGGATCTCCATTGGTTCCATGTTATGACCCTTGGATGGTTATATATGGGCTTAGTCGGTGTCTCAACTGTTTCAAAATGATCTCCCAAGATCTAGTCCCCTGGGGCCAGCATGTACATATGTCTCTTTAATAATGCCCAGATATTATAAATATATACTAAAGGGTGGGGATCTCAACATTTTTGACACTGTCCTTCAGTCAAAAGGGATCAGCCTCTCTGTTTGTACATTTTGTAGTCATTACCAGTACATGAGAGTATACTAATTCCAACCAAATATGGTAAATATTTATCAAAGGAGAAATTACTGAAAGGAGCACAGAAAATATTGCCTTCTTGGCCCCACCTCTAAGCCCTTTCATAACAAGCAAAATACATGGTACATTTGATTCCTCTTGTTCACTCAGTGAGTCTGGAACTTGACTGGTTTTAAGAACATGTGCCACTCTACACAAAAATTCCTACATGAATTATATATGTGCCCTACCACTCTAGGGGTTCGCATCCACTTATACAACATTGAGACCCATAGGACTATAAGGACCGACATTTCAAAAGTGGTTAAAATCTCAAAGTCTCAGTACTAAAGGAGTAGTACGTAGGAATTTATTTCCAATATTGAACCCCATTAATCTGCCCCATTAAAAGGAGCCACACCTTCTGAATCGTGTCAAATTTTATCAAAATAACCTTAGTCATTCTTGACTTATATAAGTACTCACTAAAGAAGTGCTAATTGTGAAGGTTACATTCATGAATCATATGTACGAGTAACATAATTCTTACACATGGAGTTGGTTATCCTTGACTACCATGGACTTTTTTCCACCTCCCCTTTTAGGCTCCTTATCCACACTTAGAGACCCATAGGCAATAGTGGCCTCCTCTTTGGATGGAAAGGGCACACAAAGATTTCTGAAAATGATAAATATTTCATTAGTTAAATTCTTCAAAAATGGACTGATTAATTGACATGTCATGTTAATAATAATGCTGATAGATTATTTTCATGGAGACATCAGGCTTGCCTTGATTATAACACACTTCGTTAACGTCTCTATGTACCACATTCATGACTAAAGTAGAAGTTCAATATATATCCTAATTCCAAACTTTAATTCAAATGTTAATTGGAATATCGTCGATATGTCATTATCAGAGCAGTGGCGGATCCAGAGACCTATCTGGGGGGGTTTCCATGTGGGGAAAAATTGAGGAAAATGGTGAAAATACATGATTTTTAAAGAAAATTCTCGGGGTGGGGGGTTTCCTGAAGCCCAAAAAAACCCTCTGGATCCGCCACTGCAGAGGGTTCAATTATCTTCTACTTCTACCACTTGGTGGCCACCATCAATCAGTTGATAATTCTGCCACTTGTTGTGCGATGCGCTAAGTTAAGGTGCATAGTTTAAAACTTGATAAGAATAGTTTGTGAATTGTGCAGTTGAAAAAACAAGTGTTCAGAATATTATTCCTTTGCGGCCAAGTGAGACTTGAAGGATTCAAGACTCACAGCATCTATCTGGATGCTTATTGAACCAGAACTTTTTTCCAATACTTGCATTACAAAATCGGTTCACTTTTGGTAAAAACCAGTCTATTTTAAAGTGGTTTAGAAACCATGTCATGATGTGTTTGGACTAAACAGTAACATGTATTGTTATTTTTGTATGTTTTAGAATCATGATGCCAATTTCAGATCAATTTTAAATATTACATGGACAGGTATTCTGATTTCTGCTCCATCTTGATATCAATTCACCATATTTTGGTAATTTGTCTGTTATTTAGTGACGGTGTCGTCCACATGAAGCCGAAGGAGATAAATTTCCATAAGGCCGGATATAAATGGTATTCCCCATACACATGCGCAATACGGTATTTCCGGTGTCTCGTGTCAACAGCTTGTTTGAGTCACCAAAGACGGATATCTGTGGAATTGTGATGAATTTGTGTACCTATCATAATATTTGGACATGATGTGATGTAGATATCATACCTAAGACTTCATACCCTTCGTCAATATATAGTTTTTCACTTTTTATTCAAAACATGGGCCTACTGTTCACAAGACTCTGGAACCTTTTTACGAACGAAGGTAAGTTGAGAAGGAAGAAAGGACTTTAAAAATGTCCTATGTACACATGTCTTGGTGTTAGTCAAGCGATACATTGAAAAAGCTTGAGGGCATTTGATTTGAGAATAACTGAACTTATGATAACAAATAATCAGATGGATGGGCGTTATCAAAAAAATGTTTCAATGCCGTAAATACCATTGGTGTTATCGGTGTGAGTGTCGACATGTCTTGAAATTAGCTGAACTGGGTTGAAGAATCGGTGAATAAGTCATGAAGATCAGTCATCATCAAACTGGCATTACTAGTACTTAAATGATAAGTGATAAAACAGGGCTAATCAATTGAAGTATATGTTTTGCGCAATCTTTTTATTACAAAGATAATAAAATTTCTATGTCCATCATAAACTCCTGTGCATAGTAGGTCTAGTATATGTGTATTTGAATTAAACCACACCTAATATCACTACCTGAAGTGTACAATATATTCTTGAATTCTGTACCAGCAGAGAAACAGAAGGCCCAAAATGGAAATGAAAATGTCACAATCATAAACCAGTTAAAGTTGCTTACAATATTTTCCCCTAGATACATTCTGATATCTTTAATTTGCAAGCAGAAAGATATCGGATTATATTTATAATTATCATCAGTATTTTAAACTTAAACCCAGTATACCCAAAGTAAACATGCTCTCCTATATATATATGATGTGTTAGTGTATCTAAAATCTAGTTACCATGGAAAAGACCAAAAACAATTCTGATGTAAATAATCTATATTTAATTCACCTGTCAATTTTGATTTAAATACATATCAAATGATGAAACTGTACAGTAGAAATAAAAATTCAAGAGGCTACTTGTTTAACAAGACTTTCTATATCTTTGGGAACCAATATTGTGTACATCGTAAACTTATAAATGCCAAATTCAAACTCTGACAGCAGTTCCTGATTGCTTCCCCCTTATACTATAGTATTTATGTCGACTAAACTGGTATATAAATATCCACACATAAAAAAAAGATAAATAACATTATAAAATTGTTCTAACAAAACAACTGTTTCACTATATATATAAAATACTTATCTAAAACAATTATTTATTTAAAATTTGTCATGAGCTGAAAGAAACCATGCAGAATGTGAAAGATTAATTTATTTCTTGGTCAGGTTAATTTGAATGTAAAAGCTACATATATCTATCCATTTGAATTTAATATATAAGTACAATATAAATGAAAGGGATTAAAATACTTATTCTTGAAAGATCATGCTTATGTTACCCGTCAGTAGTGTTTTCATGAAAAGCTGACAAAAGAATCAAAGCTATTCATCAACCTTAAACCATCTATTTTTAGAGAGTATATGTGAGAAGAAACAATTATTTGTTGTTTTCATCATATATCAAATGTTTGCCTATATATATATATCATTTTTGAATTATATAAAGTATTATTAGACTTGCAATTGAAATCTAAACATTTTAAGATTCATCTCAGGAAAAGACCATGCCAATATATATATATGTATGTGCACATATTAAGCAGAAATGATATAATCAGCTGCAGGAGATAAAAAAAAGACTTTAGTCATAAGTGGATGAGTAATTTTAATTTTTTAAAAGACCGACAGCCATATATAGATATCGATCTGTACATGCGTTTACATAACATGTATACCCTGTAACCCTACAGTGTATTTATGTGTATTAATATGAAAGTTAACCAGTCTGTAGTAGCTACTGTCAAAACAATGGTTAAAATTGCACTGGCACAATAATATTGAAGATACCTTTACTGTTGATATATAAGGATATTATTGCGTGCATAGTACAAACTGATCCTTCGAAACTGCACAATGCCACATTGTTAAAATGTCTGGTAACTTGAAACCCAGTCACACCACTCCTGAAAATTGTTGGACACTCTAATCCTAATTATACAATACATGCACAGTACTTGTACCTGTGAAGCTCTCTCATGACCAGGTAATACATTGTAATTATAATAACAGTCTGTGTACTGAACAAGTATAATGAAGACCATTCAAGTCGTGTTGATGGAAAAAATAATATGAACCTTCTTGTATAATTAATTTTATCATGATATATATATACATAATACATTTAAAAAAGTCAAATAAAAAATATATGCTAAAACCCTTCATTTCACCATTATGGTAAAGTGAAGCGCCCCTACCCCACCCTAGATTAATTATGTGCCAATTTTTATTTAACAATTTCTGTGTATCATATCGAAAAACACTATGAATGTGTATATTAATGAAATACCAATCAATTCAACCGATCATGATCAGATCTAGAGCACTTATAATTGAGACAACAAAATGTATGTTATATGTCAGCAATATAGATTTGTAGTCCCTGGGTTTACACATAATGTATTTTCCCTTCTTAATTTTATTCCCAATAAAAGTATTCATGCTTTGTCTTGCATATAGCACCCTAAATTTTGGGAAAGTCAATTGCAAAATCACTCTAGACTCCTCTATATGGATATCATGTTTTTTAGTTTGCCTTATATTCATATGATAGGTATACACTATAAACTAATATGTTTTGAAATTCAATTTTTGTCTTGTTTTAATTTCAGAACATAAGGTTATCATTGTTGGCCTAGACAATGCAGGGAAGACAACCATTTTATATCAGTTGTAAGTTATCATACAAAATATATATTGGTTTGAACATATCTTATTTGCAAAATACAAATGGGATTAGACACAAGTTCAAAACTTAAAATTTGTCTTCTCCAAATATAATATACAATTTAATCTAACTATACATTTAATGTCTAATTATAATTAAAAACATCAGAATTTCTTGTGATGGTAAATGAAACATATTGGAAAACAATGCAATTTGAGTAGCTCCATATAGCTAGTTAGCATATCACCTTTTTTATGGCCGAATATATATGTGCCAGTTCGCCTCTACAATATTGGCATTATTTTCTCCTATTTAAGCTTTATTTTCCCCTATTTAAGCTTTATTTTCCCCTATTTAAGCTTTATTTTCCCCTATTTCAGTTAAAAGTTCACCCGCTTGTAACTAAATACTACCACATAAATATCTGTCTTGGTTCCATTCTTTTTATATTTGCCATCAGTTCCACAACTGAATGATTAAAATAAATTTCCCTGTTGATAATTGTCACTGCTGATATTTTATAATCTATATTGAACAGGGAGAAACAAAATCAAAGATCTACTCCATGTACTCTCCCCTGGCTCTGGCCATGGCCATGGCCAGCAGCCCTTGCTGGATGGGTCATGCATCTAGCTACAGCGCATATTTTCCCCTATTTCGAAAAAAGGATACCAATTTTCTATTTCTGCATTAATCCCTGACAAATATGCAATTTTTATTTTTTTATTTTGCGGTGGTGAATAAACCTGAGGCAGTTATATAGTTGCCATGTGGCTTTAGGGGTGAGGGAAGGGACATTCATGTAAATATTTTCTAGTTTGTGGAGTGCTAGCTCTATAGCCTTACAAGAATTTGATAGATTCCCTCGATGCCTCCTTCGTATGATGAGGTCATAATTATTTCCAAAACTCCCAGTAAGATGATATCGTCACGAGTCCCAGCCATAAAAGAGAAATCTTCGGCTATGCAGAAATCATTAAAATATATAAATTAGTTGATGGCTTAGAATTAAATGGGATTTTATTAACAGAACTTAGAGAAAATAGGTGCAGATCTGTCTACAGTAAATTACAACTGAACTGTGTTATTGGTTGCAGTTTAATGAATGAGGTGGTGCACACATCCCCAACTATCGGCAGTAACGTAGAGGAGGTAGTATGGAAAAACATCCACTTCCTCATGTGGGACATTGGTGGACAGGAAACACTCCGGTCGTCCTGGAATACATACTATACAAATGCTCAGGTCAGTATTTATGTATTAACATTGAGGATATTCTCATATTTCATAAGTAAGTGAATATTTTGATTTTTTTCATGAGCGTATACCACACAGGAAACATAAAAAATACTCTGAATTTCAACCCAAGCGTGAAATATACTCAAATATGCATGTGTGTGAGGTAAAAGGTCAGATATCAATTTCATCTTATTTATGATAATAACAGTTTCCATTACGTATACTAATGATTTGATACTTGTTTGTTGAACAGTTTGTGATACTGGTGATAGACAGCACGGACAGGGAGCGGTTATCTATAACGAAGGAGGAACTGTATAAAATGCTCAATCATGATGTAAGTTACACAACATCTTTATAATAGGAAACTACTGAAACTTTTATTGGTTTAACCAATTTTTTATTGCCTTGAAAAAGACAAAAAGGATTGGGCACAACTTCTTACAACTTAATAAAGCCCTCTCCTAACTTAAATACATTTTACGTACCTGGTACATCATAGCTGTCTTAACATGTACATTTCAAATTTTTTTTATTTCTTTTATTTAAATTGAATTAACGTTATAGGTTGTTGACAACTGTTTCTCTGTACCCCGACCTACTCATAGAGATATAGCCGAGGTTTTCACACAGATAAAGAAAAAATATTCTTTGAACATGATATAATTGTTGTAATTAAGACTACTAGAACGGTTTGTATCCTTATGGACTTACATACATAGGTAAAGGGTTTTACTGTTTTTAATATTGTTTTATTATTTACACAATTTACTTTTAATGTTTTTACAGTATGGTCACATATTGGAACCACAAATATTAGTACATTATAAATAACAAATATTAGTATATAGTAAATATATGTACCATAATTACCGTGTGAATAGGGATGCAGTTAATATTTGTACAGCAACTGTATGTATACATATTAATCAATTAAAAATTAAAGCCTTAAATACATGTAGAGCAAAAGTATGTGCAATGATTAGTACAGCAAATACATATGTATATGCATGGAAATGAAGCAAATCTTAGCACCTCAAATATGTACAGCAAATATGTGATACAGTAATGATTATTACCTTGTTTATCTGTATTTCTGCAAAGATATGTACAATGATTAGTGCAGAAAATATCAACACAGAAAATATATCATACAGCAAATATGTATATGGTGAATATACATAAATCATATATGCACACCAAATAATATGAAAAGGCAAAGCCTTAAAAGAGCGAAGCTTTTGTTGATCTCTGATATTTACTGATTCAGAATGAGATAATACTGCTATCAGAATGAGGCAAGATAAAATTTATTTAAAGTCGGCTAGTTGAGGGATAACAATAAAACATAAACTCTAATGAGATTAAGACTGACATAACAATATTCGAGTAGAAGCTTTTTGGGGGATTTTCAGCCTCTAAAAGTGCCTGTGCAAATTACAGAGGTGTGCAAATTACATGGGTTTTAACGGTATATTCTAAGATCCAATTATAACCTCTGAAAGAGGGTTATTTGTCTCTTGGAGGTATATTATATACACACATCGTATTTAGTTTTAATTTATCACAGCTTACATTTCTGGTACTCTTTTGATAAATGTGCACCGTATTCAGTAGGATTTAAATAAAAAATGCAATTCCAGGTGAGCTATTACATTTATAATTAAGGCCCCTATAGGTCTCTTGTAATTTTGTTTTACTTCAAAATCCCCCCAAAAAGTTAAGAAAAATTGAGTGTGTATAACGGGACTGTAAATCAAGTTGTCTGTACCAGTCCTGTACATGTGTGTGTTCAAATATCATTGACTGAGCCAGAGACGTATAAATACAGAGATTGGCAACTCTCGCTGATCTCGCAAAATCACGCATGATCTACGAGTGTTTGTTTTGACAGCTTATCGACCTGGTGACGATAGTCTGGTCAGTGAGTTACCTGTGTGAGAGTTCGATCGTGTATTCGTTAGTTCGTGTCAACATGTCACTTATCCTAGATATATGGATCATATAAAGAAGCTGGTTAGAAATATAATGTTATATCTGAATCCGTTTTTGAAATAAAAAGATGAACGAGAAAGGAGTGCCGGTGTCATGAAAGGAATTAACTCTCGCACATCACAGCCGCCATTTTCACATGTTTTTTTTAAAGTGTATTTTCAGAGCTCAATTTTCAAACTTTGCAGGTATTGTAACAACCTCATTTTAATTTCCTGGTTAGAAATATTATCATATAACTAATTTCTGAAAACTTTTTTGAAATTGTCTAAAGAAAAAAAACGGAGATAGTGTTCAAAATTTGTCATGATAGAAATAACCCTCAAAATCAGAGCCGCCATTTTAACTTGATTTCTCAGAAAAACCTGTCTTTTCACAGCTGAATTATGAAACTTTGCAAGTATTGTAACAACCTCATTTAAATTTCCTGGTTAGAAATATTATCATATAATTAATTTCTGAAAACTTTTTTGAAATTGTCTAAAGAACAAAAACGGAGATAGTGTTATCCTGAAGCCAGAATAATTACCGATATGTAAACACAGCCACGATGTGCAATTTTTCGATGTTCGGGGTTTTCTAAACTTAATCATTCAAGTTTACATTCAATGTAGCACTCCCAAACCGCATGGAAATCTCAGCTACATTTTGTAGCTACGTACGGTTTTAATGTTACGTTGATTTGCGATGTTTTCTCATGGCATAATTATGATTTGAGTTGAATGCAGCGAACCGCATATCCAATATGGCGCAGGTGAAGCGTAACTCTCGATACCAGTGACCAATGGTAAGGCCAAGAGCAAGTTGCCAATCTCTGTATTATACGTCTCTG